GTCAAACGTGATGTCCGTAGTTCTGTTCCTCTTGCCATCAGGTGGGCCGTCAGCTTGTTTGCCATTCCAATTACTTATTAAATGTAATGTAGTGGTCTTATTGAATGGAAAGTTGAAGGAAATTCGAAGGCTATCGATAGGCAAGCCCTTATCCGTCTATTCGCGTTGCGTAAACGGCACCATTTCATAAGTGTGTAATTACACTAAAACGAATGGTGAGAAGTGATTAGTTAGTTGTAATCCGTGTGGTTATGTTTGCAATTAACTTTCAACGGCTATGAAATATTTATTTCTTTAATGTCAATAAAATATATTAAAAATAATTATTGGAATTGTACCTAACCAGTTAGCTTTTAACGTAATAAACGTTGTATAACATACTAGTTGACGCGTGCGACGTCGTTTACAATCTCTGTAATATTCCTTATATGATTGATTCATACAAACTTTCATCACCTATCTAGAATATTTATCGAGATAATAAATGGCCCTTAAATGGCCCTCGTGGTCCAATTGCCTATACATGTCAAATTTAGGATCTGTCCAGTCGTGTAGTCATGAAATGGTAACAAACAGACATACAATATTTGTATAGATTTTTCTGTGTTCTCTACCCCTTCAGTACCTATTCTATTAGTACTGTACACTTTAGTTACATAATATATTTATAGATGAGTTGTTAGGAGTGTATCATTTCGTGTCAATCAGTATATTAATGTTCGTTGTATTTGCGTGTATCACGCCTTACTAAATGTACCGTATATCGGTGGAGTGTCCCTAATGAAACAAAATTACTGCTAGTTAACCATCAATCTCAAAAAAAGCTCTGCGATACGTGGCTTGTTCAGTCCAAGCAAGGGAATCTTCGTTCTTACCTTAGTTCCAAATTTTCAAAAACTACTTTTATTGAGCAGTTTTATGGTTTTTATGTTATCTCTACTGAACCTCGAAATCGAGTTAAAGTCCCCAAACGTTTGTCTAGTTGTGTGTATGTAATTAAGTGACAAGTAGACTAAAACAACATATGTACATATACGAATGTTTATTTGTTTATGTCTATATAGTCTATTTTCATCTTTAGATTTGTCCATTTTATTCAAAGAAACATTTATGTATAAGTAAAATATTTTTAAGTTTTCATAACATTATCAAATATTTAATAAAATTTATTAGACAGTACTTATTTGAAATTTGGAAGACGTCACTGGCCATCGCAATCAATTATTTCACTGAAGAGTATTTGAAAAAAAAAAGCTTTACTAATTAATAGAATATCAATAAATATTTACAAACGAGCAAATAACCATTACGTTCAGATAAGGGCAAGATGCGACGACAGAAGAGCCCGGAATGTGGTGTCATAGTATTACAATATCTTGTAGCGTGGAAAATCAACACGCAAGCACGGAACTCACCAAACGAGTTATGTTATAAATAATTAATTAAGATTTGGTTGCTCGGCAAACTCTTCAAAACTAAAGCCAAGGCCACCGCTGGTATTTTAAAAAAGTCTAATTTGAATATTAATTTAGTTGGACTTCTGTATCATTCCCATGAACATTTTAACAAAGTTTGTACACAGAAAACGAAACTGAAATAAAAGTTTACTCGAAAATGTTTTCCCTTTGATGTTTTTTTATAATATTCCTTATTAGACAATTACATTTATATATAAAAGATTGTCAAATTACAAATACAGGGTTTTAGACTAACACCTAAGTGATTTTGAGTCTATTTCTCTGAAACTTTTTATAATATATTCTTCTGAAGTCTATTCGGCATCCAAGACAATGTCTTATAATAACATAGTGTACGTATTCGTTTATAAATTAGATAGATACTGCCATATAATTTGCATTTATGCAAAAATAAGTAACTACCTAATATTAATGAAGCATTTGATTGCCTCAAGGCAAACCCATCAACTGACAACAAACCATCTAATTATAATATAAGTTAAACGTAGATTTTGTTATCAATATAAGATTGTGTAAAATGTTTGCTTGAAATTTAATGTTCACGTAATTATGTACGTTGAAGAAGCAAGAAAATGTTTATATATGATTTAGACATGCATACAGATACACAATAATGTATTTATCCCATTTGGGACATATAAGGAATTGTACTCAATTTATAAACTATGTACCTAAATAAATGGTAAACAATGATTTAAATTGAGGAAAAGACGAATATATTATTAACGATGCGTCACTCATTAAGCGTTTCATATGTATATTGAAGGCGAGGCTGCAAGGCAGTTTAAAGGTAATTGATTTGAGTGAAATGATTGTCCAACAACTAATACTGATAGGACAATACTGCTCATGTTCTGCTCCAATTTACAATGTCATTTCCATTATTAGCCTCTAAGGTACAAATTCTCTTATTCACTATTTATATTCCATAGTTTCGATACAGAATGCGAATAGCGAACGCGTTGTAAAATAAACTACATCGTCCTTTTTGTTACTGTGGCCTTGTTTTGAGTTCATTGCCTCAATTCTATTCTAATTAATGACTTCATATCTAAAACAAGCCGATTAATTTTGCTTGGTACTTATTGTTGTATAAATAACAAATTAATATGAACTGGTAAATTTTAGGACTGTTTATTTCATTTCTTATATTTCAGTACACCCAGTTAAAACTGTTTTCGTTTTAATGTAAACAGTGTTGCTATATGGCTACGCTGAATTAATGTCCCCAATTCAATTGAAGTGTTTCATTAGCACAAGTGGCCGCGATTGCTTCGTTGATCGAGCCCGTTTGTTGGAAAACCAAGGCGCCGTGCGCCGTAGTGTGTTATAGTCGAATATAGGCATCTATTTATATATGTATGTATGTACGAGTAGAATTCATACAAGTTGAATCAATTACTGCCATTTCAAAATAATACAATTGTTTCGCACTATACCCTAGCTCTTTAAAATAACTACCATATTTTGATTGAGTTACATCTAGGAATTTAAAACCGTTAGGCGACAATTTTACATGAAATGTTTATTTGAAATAATAATAATAAAGACATATTTCATTAAAATCAATTAGTATGTAGATGATGACGATGATGCAAGTATGTAATCGTTCACAAGATTATCTGTTTATTACTTATGTTTTCAGACTACTGAATTTCTTTTTATTTAATTTTTATCATACTTGTTGGTGATGTCGTGGCCAACTGAGTCAGACTTGTTAATGATCAACAGATGTGTCGATGATTGGCCCATTTTAACTATGACTATTTACGTACTTCAATTTACTTCTTGTCTTTTTGACTCCTATCAGAAGTTGTTGTCGATTATTTGTTAAAATCACAACGGATCGCGGTGCGAAATGCTAAACAGGTTCGCTAAAACATGTTTTGGTAAATTTTTTGTTACATTTTTTGCCATCTTTATATTATTAGTTAAAAGGCAATTGATTTTATAAAACAGGAAAAAACCAACATTCGTTCGTCATTCATAAGAAGTATACCTGTTTTGGCCACTAATATTCTTTTGTTAGAGTTCGTGATCCGCGCAAGACCTTCGCGCGCTGCCGGGTTCAATTAGAGATCACCCGGTTGCGTTAGAAACGACTTCTCCCATTATGAACACGGGTCGTGACACCGCACGTTTAAACACGGTGGCGTAATATAGTATTGTTGTCAGTAATTTCCACGTGCAACTAACGATGTAGTTAATTGTGTACAGAATAAACGTAGTGCCAGTAACTAGGTAACGAGAAGCGGAAAATGTGGGTATTATCGCTTTATATCTCTGCTTGTGAAGGACGCCCGCAAATATTGGGTACGGTCAGCGACATGACAATGTGCTTGGCTCGCAATCTGCGTAATTGTAATAGATAAGTTTTAAATCCTTATTACGTTTTAAATAATAGCACAGTGTATTGGATATACTGAGTGAAAGCTTTTCAATTAGTGATGTCCTCCGTAATTGTCTAAATTGTGTACCCTCAATTTTGACAATTGGAAAGGTTAGCATTTCATACTAAGTTAACGCAATTACGTCTGTTTGGGTTATTAAATAAATACACTAAGTATTTATTTAGTAATTTCGTTAAATCTACCTATGTGTCATTCCATATATCATTTTAACATGAAATCATAACGTTACTTGCATTATTTTGTAACTTTTTTAGGTATACGACCTATTTATATTATTTATTTTATTATTTTATTTTACCTGTCGATTGATGATTCTCGTTTGTTATATCAAATCATAATGATTAACACCGCAATACTTAGTTTCAATTGTATAATTACGTGTAATAAACATTAATAAAATTTGAAATTGGTGTTCAGATCAGATAGTTCAGTAACATCTGTTCTACGAAGTTTTCTGGACGGCTAGCGGAGTACGCTTTTACTTTCTTGTAGGAAGTGTTGTCGCTTTCAACGGGGACCGGTCGCGAGTACCTTGCGGAGCGTATCCGTAGATTAGACAAACCACTACACACATAGAGATATATGTAGACACCGCGAGTGCATCAGTCTGTATAAAAATAAATATGTCGTAATTTTTTTACCCAAGTAATTTCCAATAAACACTAGATCCTTTTGTAAATGTTATGTTTATCAAACAATGTGTAATTATAATGAGGAAAGATGATGATGATGTTTTGCTTGTCAGGGATAAACTCACAAAAATACATAGATTCCTACAATAATTGCACTCATGGAAAAATTGGGCGAGTCGCTAGTTTACAACATTTCGTACTGCGAATCTAAATTAGCCAGAGTTCATTTATGCTAATAATAGAGATCTAAAATAGAATACTGATTTAGCTGTTGATAGACAACGTCGACCAAACCAGGTAGTTAGGTAATTAATAATATTTTATGACTTAGATATAATTCCTAATACTCGTTATGTATTTTACACTTATTTGTTTTAAATTATAGTTTCTTATTATATAATGTTATTTTGTAGATGTGTAAATAGATTTATTGTATATAATATTTGCAATTGTAATAATTATTTTATTCTTCTTTACAGATGAGTCCTGAGTATGATGGTGGAATAACGTCCTCCGTAAGTTGATTTATATTTTTTATTCTGTAATTACAAAACGCATTAAAATTTTATGTTAGCCTTTTCCTACCTTTCTTCATAATAATAAAATTCAAACAGCAATAATTATTGAATTCTTTATGACATACAGAGTGATAACTAGATTGCAACTAATATGACAAATTTTGTCATTCCATTACATAGTAGTGTTTGATTAATAACAAGGACCATTAAAGAACATAGGTAATTATTAATTTATGAACATTCATAAGACAAACACAAATGGTAGTTTGACACTGACATCGAAATATGAACTGAGTATGGTAAATACTGTAGTCAACCCGACGGCTATGTATGTTATCAAGACAAAGAAACTAATGTTTCGTAAATAACGTCTAAGTTAACTACGCCTCTAATAGTGCCATGTCATTAGTTATGTATGTCGTCTACGATAATATTTAAATTGCCTTAAAAAACAAAACTAGGCATAGATCCAGTTTAATTTTTAATGTCTAGTTGTAAACTTTCTATTAATGCGCATAATGAGCATCGGACTATAATAAAACAATGGATTTAAAACACGTATTAGTCATAGAAAACGTTTTTCCACCTTATCGTCATTGTGTGACTCATCATAATTTGTAGGGAAAGTGTAACGCGGTAGTGTGACGCAACAATAAAAATTGCACGGACAAAGGAATTACTTCCATTGCAGATATGGTGTCCGCGTTCATGGGGATTGCCGTAAAGGGCACAAGTTTTGAGTAACTACTGTCGCAATAGCTAACTACTGCACCTGATGGTCTTTTGTCACGACATTCATGATTTTAAGCTTGATTGATTTTATACAGCCAGAAGACGGCATACTTTATGTACCTTTCAAAACTTGTAATCTATCAGAAATTTATATCATTTTAATAGTCGTAATATGTCGTATATGTTGTAATCTGTAGGTACTTCTGTATAGAGAACGAAACAAAACAAAAGTTATATATTAGATCAATTTCAAAACTCGTGTGCTTCATCTAAATGAATATAAACGATCGAGTAAATCATGAGATACAATTTGATGTTAGAGATATGATGTCGTTAAATTAAAAAAGAGTTCTTTATCAATTTTATTAGGTTTCCCTGACACGTAGGAGTGCTATGAAAAAAGTTTTAACAAATTAAAACAAAACGATAAAAGTTAGTCTCAAATAATATTCAGTTATTGCAAGGCAACGAAGTGTTGTTGCGTTTGTTGACAACCACCACTGTGAGCAACATTGTTTACCTTTTCTGTTCTGCAAATCGACCTCGGGACAGCGTTCTGTTGTTGCATCTATAAATAAGGAGGTGCTAAAAGCGGCCCGACCGGGGGACGTGCTTCCTTCGCTTTGAGGGATAAACACGCTCGAGTTGAACGAAGCCCTTTGTTGACACTCGCTTTACGGCCGCTCCACCTCGTCATCGTCGCCTCGATAGTGTGCGTACACAATAAAACCGACATTGGAGCCCTGCTTGTCTCAATGTCAGTGGTGCCAGATTAAAGAGAACTCCACATTTAGAGGGATTTTGTCATGTTGGACAAATGTTTTTCGTGAGAAGCGAGTATTATATTTGATAATGTGTCTTAAAAAAATAACACTAAAACCGGATAAATAAAAAACAATAATGAAATGGGGATTATACAAAGTCCTTTACTTATGTTCATAATAAGTAAAGGACTGGAGGTCCCAATGACACACTCGAGGATTGAATGATATAAATAAGATATTTGTAAGGGAAGATTTTCTTCAAAACTTACATTTTAATCTAGTTTTGAGGAAAGTATAACGTTCATCTGACAATACTGGCTGAAATAGTGTGCGCTTGCGTTTGGCTGCTTATGTTACACAAAGGTGGACCGTTGAAGGTAGACTAGCATCGTCGCAACTGCATACTGTACGAGACCGCCCGCGCATGTTAAAGCAATTATAAGACAAAGCTTTAACAAGTCGATATTTCAAAGTCCCTTGGTTAGATAATGATGCAATTTAATGATTGCAAACAGACAATTACAAATTTAGTACTAACAATATAAACCCAGTATTTTTGTAACGGCTTTCTTATAAACTTATACTTTTAAATTTTTCATATAGAGAGATTTTGAACAACGGGTGTTCTACTGTTAGTTATTTTAATAAATGGTCGCGTTATGAATTCAAAACAGGTCGTAATAAAATCCAAGTCCAAATTGAAATTTGCACTCGCTCTCGCAGTTAATTCGAAACTATTTGGTAAATTTTCCATGTATACTTCATAAAACGAGATCCGGATAATTATATATCTCCTGTAAATATGAAAATGTTACGCATTACATCAAGTAAATAAAACAAAGAACAGACTATGGTGACTGTCACTCATGACTGCCATTATGATTCTAGTTGAAAACAACAGCCAATCAAGGAGAAGACTACTCTATTCGTATCGTAACTGAATGTTCTTTTTCGCATAAAAACAATGGCTTCGTATTATTGAAAATAATGGTTGAGTTAATATGTGACGGTATTTATACCATAGCGGCGGAGATCTCGCATTGCAAACACGCTGTATATGCCCATCTATATGCGAGCCATACACCATGCGTCCGGTGTTACTCATCCAACAGTTGCTAACTGTGTGAACATTTGCCATACACTCACATACTTATGGTGGTAACTAGAGAAATATACACTTGTTAGGAATTGATAATATGTCGGCATTAATCATCCAAACATTGTGATGTATAAAAATTCATACAAGTCATGAATAAATTCCGTACACTTACGTATTCATATAGACGAAGAAAAAACTTTTGTATGTTAGTTGTTTTTAAACCCTATATATATTTTATATCTATCTATAAATATTAAAATAGAAGTATATGTATTTGTTTTATTATGAATTAATTTAAGTATACAGTAACTCCTAAAATTGTGCCTCGTGACCACACGTAATTGTGGTCATCAGACATTTTTCGTAGTAATTCCATCCACATGCAATTTTAGTTTATACAAATTGCATAAAATGCTGCTTTATGTCTACTGTACCTAAATTTCAAACAATACTTTCAAAATTAACTTATAATAGTTATGTGGGATTTTGTATAATAATCTAATTTGCAATAATTACTATCAACATTATACACATGTGTTATAAATGTACTAATTATTTAGAACATCACCGACTATACTTTGTGGGAGAGCATTGTTCTATTATTGTATGACTACGTTACTTAAGTAATAATAGTAAAACATAAGCTGTATCACGCGGCGCTATTCGCGTAGTATTTAACTTATATTCTTGGGATTGAGCTGCTTTTTATAGGTGTAGGAATAATAAAACCTAAAAAAGTATTTTTGAATATAATAATCATAAATGAACACAAAAGAAATAAAATATGTCCCATTTTATCGGTATATATAATAATATAGGACTACTGAAAACTGACAATTTCATTTGTGTAGAATTCTAGTAAATGGCATGGGTAGCATATAACGGTCACTTGTAAATCACGTTCTTTATAATTATTTTGTAGCCTAAGAGTAGTTATAGGTTGGTATTTCGTACAAAAAGTAGTTTTAAAACTAAAACGAAAATACTATATATAAAGCATCATCATGCGATAATAAATCATCAAAATCAATAAGATGTGCGTGCGTAGGTGTTAATGTCTAAATTATATTTATCGATTTATATTAATAGGTGTAAAAATAGTTAATACCATATTTTTTACAGAACCACTGTAGAAAGAAATATTATGCCATCAATTAGAAGTGTACAATTATACTATTAAAATACTTTCATACAAAGATAATGATATCATTATTTTACAGTATCATTATTTAAATTACGCAAATAACTTCTTCATAATTTTTCAACATTTCATCAGAATTCAATAATATACCTATATATGTTGAAAAATATCATAAAATCACTACAAAAGTAGTGATTTTAATGTTGAAAAATATCATAAAATCACTACAAAAGTAGTGATTTTATTATTTCACATTAGCAGCAATAATCGTATCGAAAATATTGTTTTAGAGTAATGGTGCATAAAATTGCGCCTACTCTAATTAAACTCTATATATGTTATCATAATCGAAGAAATCAACCCAGAACAAACTAAACTATTGCTTGTAATTACCGTATATAATATTGTACCTCACCCTTTTATAAAGCGATTATAAATAAGTATTATTCATAAAAGTTAAGACAGTATAGATGTGACGCGAAACACTAAAAGGTTAATAACTACATTGCTATCATTGGTGAGACGCTGTAAGGGGGACCACTCGGTACCATCTTGGCGCTGGTTATTTTCGCGCAATCATTCAATAAACTTGATAGTAGCAATCGACAGCACCCTCGCCCGACTCCTCAAGAGAAATGGGAGCAATTTCTTTACATTTAATCGTAATACAATAGTCGGAACGTATATTGTTATGAACCATGACCATTATTATAACAGGTGAATAAATACAAACAGTACAATTAACTCGTGAGAATATAATATCACATTATTAAATCTACATAATATATTACTTATGTACTCACACAAAGGAATGGACGTTTATAGAGTCACATGGCAACCTTGAAGGCATAACGTTATTTAACTACGTACATGACATTTAAATTAAATTAATGGTTTTAACGACTACTTTTCCATAGATACTTAATTTGCATTCTTTATGTTGTTATAAATAGACGTCTTTTTATTTTCTTTATTACATATTTTTATATTATTTGTTTAAAAATATAAGCATCACACAATCTCGATTTATCCTATAATCATGCAAAGAAGTATGTGTTTTAAAAATGCTAATGTTTTTCCTAGAGGAAATGTACTTAAATATATAACAAATTATCTTTCTACAGCGTCTTTTAAAAAGTGATAACTTTAAATCGTTAATAGTTCATTTAAATATAGAACGCATTTGATTAGAACCAATTAACGGTCAATTAAGCAGTTCTCTTGTTTGAATTAAGAGTACGTCGCAGCATCAATTGTTGCGAGGCAGTCTTAATGACTTGAATACATGCTAGCAGTGTTATCTTGCATGCCATCGACCATATAAATAAGTAAAAATAAATTGCTCTAAAAGAATTTGTTTATATCATTACCATTTTAGTTACCAACACAATTGGTACATACCCCCAAATTATCTTCGTATTAATAAGTGTATACGAAAAAAATATTCTATGCTATTGTTATCACATAGTTTGCTATGGGTTCATTTGAATTGTCAATTCATGTTTATTTGCGGACACTCACTGAAAATTCGTAACCTAAATCAGCGTTCTTTGTTAAGTAGGTATAATAAATACAAAGCCGTTGGCCTCGGAGGTTATCTGAAAAGAGCATATTTTTAGCGGGTCTTCGAGTTCAGACACCAACAACGTTTCAAGGTGTAAATTTTCCCTAATTGCACATGTAAATACAACATTTTACGTTTTCATAGAGGTCAATAATCTTTCGTATTTTTATGTATAACTCTACCTATTACACTTGTATTATACTGATGGTATCCTGTATCATTACTCTAACGACACTCACTTCACATTCGTATGCTGCACCACCAAGTTTCAGCACTCGTTACAAAAGTAACAATTTGTTTCCATTAGCTGCCTAGACGGCAAGTCGATGCCCTCTATTCATTCATATGAACCTTCAAATTGTTACATTTATGTTTGCTCTTTCAATAATTTATTGATTTAGGAGACTTATGTCACTGTTTAACTACGTATCACAATTTTTTAACTTGAATTCTATTTTGTATTTTTCAAACTAAAATTAAAATATATATAACAATATATACTATATATATTTTAATATTACTTTGAAAAATGTAGCTTCGAAATAAAACTCTATGTCCTGTGTATCAAGGTCATAGAGTTTTAATTCTAATATTGCTTGGTCTGAGTTGTAAGAATAGGCTACACATTTCATTTATAGTGACGCGTACACAGCAATAGATGTATATTACAATGATGATGATGGTGAAACACATAGCTTGTACATGATAATTCCTGAGTAGAAGTAGAGTTCCTACACTACTAGATATAATGTTTCATATTTTATTCCATATCTAAGTATTTTCCTTTAACAATCGTGATTGACTGATTCGACCCATCCGTCGTAGTTGCCACTACAGTAATATAGCAGGTGTCAGTTAAGTATATCTACTACGTCTTTTAGTTTATTGAGAAGACCTATACTTATGGCCGTGGATTCAACGACACCGCCGTTACAACGTCCATATAATGGAGAACACAAACAAATTGGCTCGGGCGTGGAGCGTGTTTGTCGCATTGACAGCATAACCTGCTAACCACATTGTCTACAGTGACACACGAGGTGTGACTTGTGCCCATCTTTTTGGAAATTTTTCTTGCACCAGCTCAGCGTTTACTCAAATTTGTATTTACTAAGGCACCATCGTTTGTTGTCGTGTCGTGCTGTCAAAATCGATGCTACGGTTAAACATATGTTATTACAACAAGCAGTTCTGATCGTGTTTTGCGAGTTGTGCTGCATGTGATTGGACTCAGTTTCGAACGCAACTACCGCGGCCATTTGAAATCGACAGTGATTACAATTTTCCCTGGAGCTCGATTGCGCAGGCGCAACGTCCGATGGAAAGCAGCGTTTAACCAATGTTCTGCTCTGATAACTCTCTAATTACGAGTCGGCCGTTTTCCTTCGACACTTGGCGACCACCAACTTAACCCCTGGCTTTTCACTTCAACATTTCACCCGACATTGTACCGCCATGCCCATTTGTTTGCTACACTTTCGATTTTAATATTTTACCATTATCAAGATAATAGGTATCGTTATTAGAACAAAAACAAGCCGCTATTTTTGTACGTCTGCTTTCGCCTTCTCAAGTACTCAACTGATTGTAATACGGGGTTTCATATCATTTAGATAGTTTCTTCCTTCCTGGTTTAACATTTACGTACGTATATCTAATACATAAAGTGTAATTTACTATTTTAACTGCTGTTGGCACACAGAACCATTCAATAGAATTGCGTTTTTTCGTTACAGAAAAGACCTTATATAACACGCGTGTGTTTTTGTGGATGAATCGGAGAGTGAAGGTCACCTAACAGGGTACATTACTAGCGATGGCATCAATAGTTACCTGTATTAATAAACAACATCCTCTCTCCTCCCAATATCGTCTATAAGTTCTGCTTGTTCTGCGTAATCATCTACCGCTTCGCAAGAGAACTGTCTCCGTCAATAGATGCAATGGTAACCTTTGCCGCCCTCTGCTATTACACACAACGAAAATATGATAATAGTTATTTCTTGGATACGTTAGTGTGATATTGTTTCTCTACAATTTACTGTTAACTATCCTCTTGTCTTTATAAATAGACAAATAATAATAATAATAATTATTTTATTGGAACTAAAAATATATAATATTTTACAAAGTAGGGTAGTGTAACGATAAAATAAGTCATTAAATACATTTAAATTGAATAATGTTACATCTATAACCACCACTTGTATATTATGCTATATGAAAATGGGCGGATGGTAGATAACATTATAATACATACGACAAACTTTAATATCCCTGATTATAATAATCAAGCATACATGACCCCCAACAAGTAACGCATCATAATAAAATAATTTGTCTGTTGTATTTAAAAACACAAGTGTTTGCGTGTTTACGATCTCCGGACGAAGCAGAGGCGAATAGAATATACAATGACGTGTCATTCACTTCGATTGAGGCCGCATACAAGATGTGGTTTATCATACATTATGTATAAAGTATGTGTTCCGTCTATATGTACATCTTAACCAACCTTCATGTTGTTCTCAACCTAACCGAAAATTTGTAAATTCTTTCCAAAAATATCCTTATGTTTATTGTCTGTGTGATATATATACAGCATTTTTACTAGCACGGAAGTATAGATTTATTGACGACAAATAATTCTAGAGCATGTAATCTAGACCACCACAGTCAAGTTAATCGTGACAAATGTGAACGTTAGCGTACATGACAAAGATACTGATCCTCAAACGCTAACTAATAGACTATGAATAGATCACTATGGTAGTACTGTTACCTAACACGACAAACGCCGACCGTTGCCCCTAGCATAAAGCATTAACAACGACTAGGCAATGTTGTCGAATAGCCCAACGACAATAATTCCACATGCGGCGATGCGACAGGCGACATCTGAACAATAGTGCACAATCAACGAGATTGTGGCCGCGACGCGCGTCGTGTCAAATGCCTTCGCGTGAACGCCGGTATTGTTATGGTGATGCCGTGTAGCGTCAGGTTTGTGAAGTTCGACGCTCCATAAAAACAAAAGACAGTTCAACCATTTGCATCTCAATTCACAATGAACCACCAGAACGGAGAATATTATCTGGCACATACTGATGAGTTTATTCGGAGAAGTCACAAAGTTCAATTGATAACTTGATATAAATCTAAAATTACTATTAAAATATAAGTCTCTCATACTTAGAATTAAAATTTTAGGGTTAACATAATTTCGAAACATTAACTTTGTAACGTAAATAGAAACTTCGTGAAAACGAGATGAACACGAGCAGGTAAACGCTAAAATTGGACTCACCGGGAACCTTTTTTTTTTTGTTAACTTTGTGCAGGTATCTGGAGCCTCCGGCCCCATACATCTTTTTATCTATAAACGTGCAAGATTGTTGTGAAATGAAGATAAGAATAAGGGTATATAAATCTTCCGATATAAAATCTAATTCTCTTTCTTTGACACACTAAAAAGCAAAGTATACCAACCCCTAAATGAGCATTTTAATTACCCAGAATTTATGAGTAACTTATGATTTTCTTTTTCATTGAATGTAGGAAATTTTTGTCTTGTTTCGTTACATCTTTTTAAAATAAGAGCAAGCCGAATGAATGGAATAGTTACTAAATATTTATTTTCCTTCTATTGCAGAACCAAACTCGACCAGTGCAGACGATGAATGGTACTGCTGCTCCAGTAGGCGCTGGTACAGTAACCAATGGCTTGAACTGGGAACATCCAGCACTCAGCCGCGCCGCTTCCGTTCCCGCACACCGTACACTTGCGGGTCTGCTGGACCGCCTGGTTCATCATCGACGCCTCGAACGCACTACCAGCGAACCAGCACCACCTCCTACCGCAACTAGCAGATACAAAACTGAGCTGTGTCGACCATTCGAAGAAGCCGGAGTATGCAAATATGGCGACAAGTGCCAGTTTGCACATGGAATGCGCGAATTACGAAACCTACAACGTCACCCTAAATACAAGACTGAGCTGTGCCGTACCTTTCATTCTGTTGGTTTTTGTCCGTACGGACCGCGATGCCACTTTGTTCATAATGCGGAAGAAGCACGACGCCGTGAGCCATCTTCGCCAGGTGGTTCTGTGGCATCTTTATCCTCTGGAGGATCGCTCGCGTCTTACATGAGTGATGGATCTCGATCTCCACGTTCACCACATTCTCCACATTCTCCTCAATCTCCGCTCGCGCCCCAATCACCGCTGGCTCCTCACTCTCCGCCAGCGCTTTCTCCACCAGCACAAACTCCGGCATTTGCTTTTCTTCGCGCTCATTCGCCTGACCCAGAAGAGGAGCGGCTGCCAGTGTTTAATCGACTTTCCTCGGCATTCGGTGACCTCGTTATTGCCTAGGGCGTTATGGTTATTAAACTAGTCCTAAGTTAACTTATACCATTCTAGCATAAGAATCGTCTGTCACCGTAGTGCCTACTCAACGTCTTCCAAATCGTGCCCGAGGGCCGTCCCGCTCGTCGCGCCTCGCGCATCAGCCGCACCAGCACACCCGCTCAACGAATGATCTCCAGTTTGTCGATGCCCTTTAACTACTTCGCCCTGTAATTTATAAAGTTAAAGAAGTATTTACTGGCGTCTCGAAAGTTTGCGGTGTGAATGTAGTGTTTACATGTACATCTTTAGTTATTGGCACGCACTTGTAATTAATGGAATCTTGTGTTATTAGATATTTATTGCATAGCTCGCGGAAGTCTTCCCGAAGCGATCCTCCGCCGAGCGGTGGTCTCTGTAAAGTTAGCTTATAGAACATTTATTTATTTCTACTGCCTTTCCGCGCTCGGTATTGTACCGCGAGAAGGCGCTCGTGATCTATTTTTAAGGGTTTAAGATAATAATTTATTATTTATTTCGAGTCTCTTTAACTGTAATAATTATTTTGTAGCTAGCAGCTGCGATGCCGCACCGCATACGGACGGGGCCCGCGTCGACGGGACGTGGCTCGTTTTGAAAGTTTACAAAATTGCTCGACTGATAATGCTCAGATAAAATGAAATAAATCTAGTTTTCTACCTTTAGTTTTAACGGGCCGAATCAGTCGAGAATACTTCGGGAGTTCGGCAGAATATTTCATATTAAATTATTTTAACTTTTTCTGTTCTAACCTACGTCTGAATTTTTACCCGAAAGTTTTCATTTGTGTCACAGCAAGTACACAGCATTAATCGCATCCTCACCACCACAAGCGATCTCAATCATCTGTGGCCCATTTGAAACCATCGGCGCGTTCCAGGAGCGAGCGGCATGTTGCTTTTAGAGGCGGCTCGCTTGCGAACGAATTTTTTTGTTTTGCGTTAATCGAAGAAGGCTGGCAGCGAGCTAAACCTGTTTGATGTTTTGTGGTGATTGTTTTTTTCGAACCCTTACCGCACTCTCAGGGTCCTCCTCGCTTCGGCACTCGATGAACGTCGAATGCATGCAAAAAATGACAGAAATTCGAATATATGATTGCCAAACTCCCGCAGTCTCATGCGCTGATAACATGTAAAAATAAAGACATAAGTTGGATATGCTAATATTAAACGTGTTTATAATACAATTGCCGTGTGGAACCATTGCCGGAGGGGCGCGGGTGCAGAGTAGCAGCAGTCCTCCCCCTCGCGCTTCCACACCGCTGCTTGCCTGCACCCTGCGCCCCCTCCACACGAACAGTGCCTTTTACTTCATAACAAAATAAATCGATTATTATATTTAATTTTTAGTTGATCGAGATAGATTAATTGTTTATTTATTGTCTCCTTTTTAATAGTATATTCAAATGGGCACAGTATAATATACTTTGACAGAACTAAGTGGCGGCTTAGTTTCTATGTAGTACCTATATAGATTTTTGAATTTAAAGTGTGATATTTTATAATATTTATAATATAACAAAGTTTAAATTTTTAAGTAAGGGACCAATGTAAGGACTATGACAAATTCATATACAGTCAAAAGCTGTGTTGTGCTCGCACCGATTATATGTTATATTTTGTTATACCATTGTAACAAATCTAAAATTTTGTATTATCTAAATAAAAAGTATGACCATTGCTGGTTTGTGTTTAATTGACATTTTATAAAACCGAGACGGTTATTTGGTTTTTGTTTTCATAAGTTAGTTTCAGTTTTTTTTTATTATATCTTAGTCGTTGCATGATGGATGACCACAAAACTAATAATTTTGTACCTAATTTTAAGGAGCTAGCTAGTATTAAGTGTTTTCATAAAACATACGAAAATTATTTATTATCAGTTCATTACGAAATGTAAACCATTTAAGCCAATTTATTTAATTTCTTTTATATTTAAAGCAACATTACGAAGTATAATTTGTCTTAATGTTAGTAATATATCATGTCAGTCATATAATAATACAAACATTAGTTTAAAACTTAAGTACATATGTACGACGTTACATTTAAGTATTTAATTTTTTTAATTTAATTCAATTATAAGGTAATATTCCAAAAAAATGACTATTACTACGTATTCTTTTGTGGACAAAATATTAAGCTGTAGCTTGTTTTCGACATTTTTCTTGTAAGTTTTCTTTATTTTCTCGCATCATTCTTATTGAATTATAGTCAAAATATGTTTAATTTTGTTTTTTATTTTTTTTTCTACCTATTCCAACACAACCAAAACCACCCATAAAAGTTGCAGTGGATTACTTTTACGAGGCGTCTATAGAAAATGCGGCATATTCCTAGCAGATAACGGAATTATATATTAATGGCTATCAGGGCTGGAATTGTGATTCTTATCTAAAAAGAAAAATCAAATCAGGAAATATATTGCCATTTGCCTACTCGGTTAAGTTACAAATAAATATCTTTAAACAGTAGTTGTAAGGTATTCAAATAAGTTTAGTAAAAATTGGTAATTTTATAACTAAACCATTTTGTCAAAGACTTTACATTAGCGATTAGTGATTCCTAAAAGTTTCATTACTATGTTATATTGATTAAAATAAAATTTCCTAGCAGAATACTTTTATACCCAAGTAGGCAATTAGGATTATTAAACAGAAGGGGAGAGGGACATTTCTGACACAATACCACCTGGTCTGTCTGATTTGGTTACATATATAGAAAAAGCTGTAGTTTATACACACAAAGTAAAGATGACCAAACCAAGTCCAGTCAGTAAAACTTGTAAAATATTATCATTAAGATTGCCATGAACATTAAACAGTACGAATTGTGAAATAATAATTTGCATTGCTATTTATGTAATTAATAATATCGGATGATTAAGAGATAATTAGATGAAACTTGAATTAATATAAGCATTTAACTATCGAAAACAAATGACCTATTAAATATACTAGTCACTCAAAAATACCTGTCAATTGTGTAAGTATGTTTGACCATAAAATTATCTCCTGTTTATATACTTAATTTGAAAATATTACATGTGTACATATCCTTTTCATGGCGCTACTGGATCCTTGCTAAATTACACATGTAATTACGGGTATGTATTGCAAAAATCTAGTTATAACAAAGACGTAGGTAAAGGTGAACATGTTTGCTAGGAGAGAGAAATAGATTATTTTTTCCTTATCAAATTATATACTTATTATTATACTTTGACGGGAATGGAGCCAATTAATTAGAATAACTCTTTATTCTAACATATTATAACTGTTAGCGGTTCGAATTCATAACCATCTGAAGGTGAGACAGTGTTTTAAACTACTATTTCATGAAAATTCTCTCTGATATATCTTTTTCATTATTTTATGCAAATGGAATGACAAACAAACTGACAGCCGACCTGATGGTAAGTGGTATATTTGTGATTAGATAGTACTGGGGACATTACCTTATTGTGTGGTACCCGTAATACCGCTCATTAGTTGCTATTCCGTAATACCAAGCTGTCATGCCTCTTTCTTTCACGTTGCCTCTTCTCACCCTTAAACTGAAACACATCATCAAGCAAACAGCTTGGCTATTGAAGTAAGTGACACTGGAAATCATGTAAAACTTCTTACACTCTACATACATGGACATTGGGTACCAAATATTTTTTAAATGGTGTATTTGTAGTGCAAAACAGCGCATTAAGAGAAATTCAAATCAAAAATCATTTATTCATGTAGAACATTTTAGGCGCTAATGAACGTCAAGTGTTATCATCATCATCATCATCGCAGCCCGGAAGACGTCCACTGCTGGACATAGGCCCCCCCAAAGATCTCCACGACGATCGGTCCTGCGCTGCTCGCGTCGAACGTCAAGTGTATTGTATTAATATTTTTACCTAACATCCAGTTCTAATTCTGTAATTTTCTAAGAATTCCGCAATATGCTATGTAACAAAATTATGTCATTGAGATTTAAAGGTTTGGAACAACATATATAAAGTTAGATAACTATGATGATTAAAATATTATTACTTATGAGCTTCTCGCTTGTAACTTGAAACTTAAACATCACAATGCTAATACAAACACCTAACTCAGCTCATAGAAAGACGATCTGTGCTTCATGCTCCCAACCTATGTCGGTAACTCTGTTAACTAACACTCAGATAAGATGTGGCCTTGACAAAACCATTTGTACGTTTCAACAACGGTCTCTTTATATGCTTCAAACCCGAAGTAAATATCTATAAACTTTATCCCAATGCAGGAAGGTTGAAATCAATCGAAATCTATATATATAATCGTAAATATATAATTGTTGTACATGTGAAACGGATGTTATAATCTAGAGCCTGTCGAACATAATGAATAAGCTTGTATGAAAAGGTCAGAGAATCATTCCTAATTGGCGAAATTCATAAAAAATAGCAATGAGTTTTGAAAAAAACCAATTTAGAAGGCATTGAAAGTTTTCGCAATTTTATAACGAGATACGTATATATTCTCCATGATGTAAATAGACATATTCACAGCGGTAGCGAAGTCAGACAAATGGCTTAGGTCTCAGTTCTTTCCTGAGAATGACCACAAACGAAATCCTAGAGATAATTCTTGAAGAGAGATACAAGAATCGGTCTATTGTTAGCAATGTCGGGTTGACCTTCACGCGGTTCCCCATGGAAACCATCGTGGTAAATTGCTCTTTGCCAAGAGGGCCTGAGCTGACTTAATGCTCATTTTGACATCCAGCCAGCATAAACCGTTAGCGCTGGCGGGAGTATCATTCCATTGTCATCCATAAAAAAACAACATTATTCGAGATGTCCGTGATGGAACTATTAATTATTAATTATTTTTTCTGTAACATAATAATACTTTGCGATTAGAAACGAAAGTTATCAGTGGTTTAGTTGCATGCATGATTTGTCATAAACAGGTATTGATAAATAATTCCTTATGCAATATTGAGAAATCTTAATCTCGAAATCAGAAAGCCCATCCTTTAAATTATATAGCAATTGTACTATCTGACATGTTACTAAGTAAATACGAGCCATGCTGTTAGTTCAGTGATAATAATAATTGCTGCTGGATGTATACGATAAGGGCGTGCATTATCTAATGTTTGTAAAGCTAACACTGATTAGATAACACAAAAGATGTAAAAAAAGTTAGGAGTTACTAAGTATTTTCTCTCAGTCGAAAATCAGAGAAGGTATAAATTAATTAAATGATTTTTTATAATAATAAGTACCATTTTGTGAGTAGTAAAGATAATACCACACAGCTAATGGAGAAAATCCTACATATACAAGCACACATATGTAATCATATTTATAAGGCTTGTGCAGTACCTACAAATGAAAAAATTGAAAATACAGAAATAAAATATATTCAATGTAATGATGCATCCTTCTGTGTCAGCTATATATGCTGGTGGGGTACTAAGAATAAATATAATGAGTCCCTTCCACCCCAACTTTCAAATCTTTCGCAAATTATTTAAATTAGAAATAATGATTGGTGCATTTCCTACTTTTGTCTTGATGATTATGACATAGTCATCGTATATATAAACATACACATACACAGGATACCTAAAATTCTGCAGCTATCCAGGTATAACATTATATCCATTAATGTTCATACGGAGTGTAACATCAAACTATGTTATAGCCAATACGATAAAGACCATATCCACAAGAGAGTAATACGATTTATATGTGAATGGATCAAACTGAAATTTATTTATATTGGCATATCTGATAGCGGTGAGGTAAACCCGTCCGTAGATCTACGTCCGCTTCCTGCACTATTTAATGCCGCTGAATATTTGGAAAGGCACAACTTCAAGGGTAAAGAAGAAAAACATAAATTTGCATTCTGTAACGACAAAACCGACCGTTCCGTGTTTATTTATGGGATTAGTCGAAGGGCACACACGCTTGATAAGAATTTTTACGCCATATAAGTGTTTAATCGTAGGTACACTTAATGCAATGAGGTATAACATTATGTAATCTGTAATTGTATGTAGGGGAGTTACCTCATTTGCATGTATTTGTAATAAGTTCAAAAACTTAAGTCTATCTTAACAAGACTTTCCTTGCTCTATAGCAAACATATACTGATGATGAATACTCTTTCCAAATATTCACAATAATAAATGAGCCTGAACTAGTCACTGCACTATCTAGATGGGACTAGTCTTACGGTAAGCAGAGTATATATAGATATACTCTGCTTACCGTAATATATCGTATAGAATATATAGATACTTTTTTTGTAAATACATATATACAGAATACACCCGACACAAACAATCATACTCATGAATACAAATGTTTAGACCGTGTGAGGAATCGATCCCGCGACCATAGGACGTAAAACGGTGTGCTAAACCACTAGACCACTGATGCCAATATTTATAGTCAGATTATTAGAATTTCTTAATTGTATAATATTTCACCCGCGCCATATGTATTTGTGACAACATGGTTGCTACAAATAAAACAAAATCTTATAAATCTCTACTTTGGGTTAATATCTATTTAGATACAATATTTAAAAACTCAAACAAAATATTACACATGAACGTAATCCTACCTCATTAAATGGCTATTTGAATACAATCATTATAGATGTTGCAACCAACTTAGGTTGCAACATCTATATAATGACTTAAGTTTTCTAGTTCAGCTTAATTATATAATGAAATTACTGACATTTCTTATTTGAGACAAAATAAATATGAACTACAGTAAGAATAATTTGAGTTGTAATTAATGCTAATAAATATATAATGCAATACTCACGTTATGAGCAGCCGGGCGAAGCCGGGACGTGCCACTAGTAATCTAATAGATGTCTCAGTTTATTCATTAATGTACTCGTATTCTATCACAAGTATAATATTATAATTCCGTGAAAGTGTCCAACAGAAGATTGGTTTATTTAAACACTGAAGTTTGTTTTGGAGCCAATTCTATTGACCCGGCAAGGAGCGAATAAATTTATCATTATTAATCTGTAGAGAAATAAATAAATAAACCTAATTTTAAACTTTCACGTTTTTGCAAATAAATATATATATATTTCAATTTATTTTCAGACTTAGTCCGGTCATTTATTTTCAGAATTCTGTTATTAGTTATTATATACCGTATTCTGTGAAGACTGGTTTTTACTTCATAAAGTGTTCTCCTGAGA